TTCCAAGGCTGCAAAGAAAGAGAAGCCCCTCTTTCTCCACTTTCCCCCTTCTTCTCAAACCCCCCCGTGCAAAAAATGGGGGTTCGCCTTCCACCCCACAGATTCCCCCCCCAGGAGGAAGAAAAGGGGGGTCCTCCCCTCTCCAGGCCACCCGGCGGGCGGTGCGCATGCGCGGTGTCTCACCTGGGCTCCAGGCTGGGGGCTGCATCCAGGAGCCTCCCATGCTTCTCCCCGGGCAAGGCTCCGACGGCAGGCGTCGCGAACAGCGCATGCGCCGACCGGCCCCGCCCACCTTTTGCCGCCTGTCATAGAGCTCGGCCGGTGAAACGGAGGTTCTCGCAGAGCGCCGCCTGGCGACCAGAAGCGGTACTGCAACGGCACAAACTCACTTTGAGGGGGACACGGGGTGAGTTTTTGGGGGGGTCTCCGGAGGCATGTTTTTAATGGCCTCCCCCCCACTCCAATTTCCCACCGGGTCAAGGCCGTAGCTCAATGGTTTCCCAACCTGGGGTCCCCAGATGTTCTTGGACTCCGACTCCCAGCAATCGTGGCCAGCAGAGTGGCAAAGGCTTCTGGGATTTTGAGTCCAAGAACATCTGGGGACCCCAGGTTGGGAACACCTGCTCTAGCTCCGGACCCTTAGTAGGGGAAAACCCCAAGAATCATCAGTGGCGTTGCTTGGATGCAGGACAAGCTTTCTGTGACTGCGGAGAAATTCAATCCATACAACACAAGTTGTGCCCCACCGGGTGCGCGAAAGATCCAAAAGGGCCGAAATAAGGACCCCGTTCTGATCAAAAGCAGCCTAAAGAGCTTAACATTTTAATTTGTTTTTAATGTTCACCTCAAATTCATACATCCCTAATTTTAAATTGTACAACACTCTTTTGAGATGAATAAATTTGAAAACAGAACCGTTTCACACCTTCCTTCTTTCCCTCACCTTGGCATAAAAATAAATAGCAGTTCCTGGAATACATCTGGCAAGGGAATTTGCTTTTCACAGGGCATCACATCATGGCCCCCAATGCCACATCTGGAAATGGACCTTTTCACATCTGGAAATGCACTTTTACCCATTTTGTGGTGTCATCACAAGGCCACGAGGAAGGTGGCCAACCTGGCCTTCTTTGGCAGATGGTCCCATAATCCTTTCTCATGGCCTCGTCACCAAGCAGGCCCCTCTGGAGCTGGTGGGACCCAGTGCGAATTCCATCCTCATTTAACAATATTCATACAGTATTTGAGTCTGGGTTTTTTGTGTCTTTTTCTTCTTTTTGAAGAGGGTGAGTTTTTGGCTAACTTCCCTTGTAAAAACCCTACCTTTGTTTAAAAAAAAAGAAGAAGAACCATCAAAATCCTAATAAAGAAGTTTCTCCTTTGCTCATTTTTTTAAAAGTTCAAACCAAAATAAGGGGGAAAGGGAGTGGGAAAAATAAGACAAGTATAGAAAGCACACTGTCATCACAGGATGAGCATATATACGTTAATGTACGTTGACCATCGTGCTGGGAAAGGTGAAATGAAGCAGGAAAAGAGGAAATTAATTTGCTGTCCTACATCCAAAGCTGGCTGGATCGCATGTTATGGAGAGCCGTCTTTCCATCACACAAGATCTCCGGAGAGAAGAGCCAGCCTGGGTAGCCTTGGGCCACGAGGAGGAACTCATGGAGTTTGCATACGTCTAAAAGTGACTTAACAACAGCCGCCGAGCCAGTTCCAACGGATGGCCCCTCGTGCCAGCATTGGTTAGGTGCAGAGTCTTCAGAAGCAGTTTCCCAGCCCCTTCCTTGGGGCATTCAGATAGTCCAGGCAGTGGTTTTCTTGAGGGGGTCAATCCATCCTGTAATGAGTCCTCCTCTTTCCCTGCTGCCTTCAATCCTTCCTAGCACAAAGTCCTTCATTTGAATTTTTTGTCCGGCTTTCCATAGGACACATTCTGCGTACAGACTGAAACAATAAGGGGATAAAAAGCAAAATTTTATCTGGCATCTTTGCGTACAGGAAACGAGCCTAGCCCATTTTCTCCCTATTTTGTCGTAACCGCAACTTCTCATTCGCAATGCACGTTAAACATCGGGTCAATCAAGACCCAGAGCACAACTAATTTCTCTCAGAGCATCTCATAGCTTCTCATGATCTCAGGGACCCCTTGCAAAACCCGAGAAGTAGCTATCCGTTTGATCCACTTCCACAAGGTTAATTAAAACCTAGGAGACAAGCTATGAGCATATTTTATTAGATTTATTACGGAGAAAGACTACACTGAAGCAAAGAGAAACATTATCCCCCAGGTAAACTGAATATTGCTTAACTCACATGGAGTGAGAGATTAGGAGTCTTGAGGCTTGTGTTCGAATCCCCACTCAGCCATGGAGACTCAATGGGATGTGTGGCACTCATCAAGCCACTTCCTTGAAACCTCTATAAGTGGGTTCCAACTTGACAGCGGATCATCATCATAACTGGCCCTATTCAGTCTAACCCAGAGCTTGGAAAAGTTCCTTTTTTGGAAACGACAGCTCTGAAAACCTTCCACCCAGCATGGCCAGCGGTTTAGTTTGGCTTATCTAATGTTGTGCTGACAGGAGGATGCTGGGATTTGTAGTCCATGAAAGCCGCATTTCCAAGCTTGCTAAGCTTTGGTGGGCCAATCCCAGGTCTCTCAATCGGTCCTGACCTAACAAGGTTATTGGGCAGACTGGGAAAGTGACATGAATGAACCTTCTCTCTTTTTTGGCTCCCCAAGAACAGATCGGCTTCTCCTTAGCCTCTGTCCGTCTAAGAGGGGTTCTTCAAACTAGATTGTCTTGCTCTGCTGCTCTTAAATGGGTTGATTGATTGGTTGATTGGTTGATTGATTGATTGATTGATTGATTGATTGATTGATTGATTGATTGATTGATTGAATTTTTTCCCTTGGGAAGGACCCGAGGACATTTAAGGAAAGACAAGGTTTTAAAGCTGAAATCCATGAGTATAGGAAAAGGGGGTTTCTATCATTAAAAGGCAATATTCAAAACCTAGGAACCTTGGGAAGGACCCGAGGAGATTTAAGGAAAGACAAGATTTTAAAGCTGAAATCCATGAGTATAGAAAAAGGGTGTTTCTATCGTTAAAAGGCAATATTCAAAACCTAGGAACCATGGGTTTTTTTAAGTATTGATTTTATTGACTGTTTTTAATAGAATACTCATTTCATTCTTTTTAAATATTTGTATCCTTAAGTGTTCTTAATGGTGTAAGCCGCCTTGGATCCCTTTAAGGAGAAGTGTTTTTTTAAAAAA